CGGTAGAAGATGGCTGAACATGCGCAATGCGTGTCCTAACCAGAGAAGCGGACTAATCTGAATTCGATGGGACAACGAATTCTCCAAAGAATCATTGCCAAATACGCGACGCCCTACCTCAGAGTTGCTTACACGCTGGCTCTATCTNGAATATCTTCCACGCGCAAATTTAAGGTCTCACAACCAACTTCGGGCTCGGCCGCACAAGCAAATTTTGTTGCTGAGTGCATCGCGAATCTAATCTGACTCCACTGTTGGTCTAATCCAACATGCCGCGGTTCTCCTAGCTCCCGTACCAGCTTCTCCTCATAACGTGCACAGACAGTTGGACCGCGCAGTGGTTCAGTCGCCGCCCCAACCTAGTGGAGCTTTATATGGTTCGCGACTCAAAGTCCCGGGGTTTAGGATACCGGTTTCATTCAATGAACAGCAGGTCCTGGTGGCTACGGGGGTCACTCCGTCTGCTGTTCGTCATCATAAAGTGCGTAATAAAAAAATACATTATCCCCAGTGAGAATGTTAAAGAAAAATGGCCGTCGAAATGACCCCGGAGTGCCATAATTAACAGCACTACGGCGATAAATTTGAAAAGAGAAGCCAGTAGAGCAACACCGCTCGATTTGCCTTGGACGATTTCGCTGCATCTCAACTTGTGCCTACTGCAGTCAAATACATTGTTTATGTAGAGTTTGAGAATAGATTACAATGCCAGGGTGATGAACAATTCCTTTTGTTGACACCGAATTCGGTTACCATTACGGTCAGATTGTCAATGCACGAATGATAACAAAAAAATATGGTTAGATTAGTCTGTCACAAAACTACGAGGCAACCAACAACAGAACTACCTTCTTAGCGGTTGGATTTCGTTGAACGAAAAAGTCACCGGTGATCAGCGATCACATTCGAGAACGTGATAGGCTTTTTGTGCTCAGTAGACAATCATCTTGGGAACCAAAACTACAAATGAAAAGTAGACAATACCAAAAGATGTCTCGGTCCGACTGACTCATTCTGGTTAATACCGTTGCTGCCTTCATTCTCCTATGGAAGCGGAACTTTTCTCAAGGTAATTCAGCAGCGTATCCTCCACTGAAGGTAGAATGATCTTTAAGACATTGAAATTTAGCTACTAGGGTTAGTCTGTGTACACTCATGCAAGGTTGAGCGGCGCCCAATTCAGCCCGGTGAACGACACGACCCGGCAAGACCATTCGAAAAGGCGGTACAAATAGGTTGTACCTCAAGCAAATGACTGGTATCCGTTAAGGGATACCCTGCCAGGTGAGACAAAAATTAACAGGGAGAACTAATGTTCTTGATGTAGCGACTGTTTTTGGCAGTCCTCACTGTCAGAAAAATCCGATATGCTAGCAACGTGGAAGTGGGGATAAGATTGAAGAAAAACAATAAACTAACAAAAGAAAGTACCAAAAGGTGTACAGTGAAACAAACAAGTGCTATTCTTGTTATCCACTATAACCGTTTGACCGCCATCTCCCTGCATTGTATCCTAACACCTTTCTCTGTTATTCGCGTTGGCACCATGCTTGTACGCAAACTGGTGATCGGAGTAACAACGGTTAATGTGCGTGATTATTGTCAGGTAATTTTCAGCAGGAGTTGAAAGCCCTGGTCACGGAGTTCAACGAGATTAACTCGGATCATTAGACGCCAGTGTCGAGAACATTCTGGTCAACTATCGGGACCGGCAACTGAAGCCTTGCAGAACGAACCATCCATGGTTCAGATGGAATGCAGTATTTAGATGGGTGATGGTGAAGCTACTTACCACTGAGCTAAGTGATCACCCACAAGTAGAACGCAATCTAGAATACACCCAATTAGTCACCATAAAATCAAGTCCAAAATTTATTGAATCACGCATAGCGAACATTGAGAAAAGCAATGCAAACAAAACCAACTGAGGTGATAAGTGATTTATTTTGAGGTAGGACGACGCCCCTCGGATGAACAGAACCGTAAACCAACGAGTGATCCTTGTCGCAGATAGACGAACGGTCACTAATTCGCACCCGACAGTTAGTAATCTGGGCCAAGGCACATTAAATAAGCGGTTGCAGACGATTAGTGGCAGTGCCTGAGGCTGTGCTGGACAAACTATTTGGCAACGGTTTTCCGCATATACTTGTGAACGAACTGGGCCAGCCAAGAACATGGACATTACATTTCGTCGAGTTGCCATCATCGAAATGATTCTCACAACTGGCCAGGGGCTTACCTCGAACAATGCCGCATTCAGTGCTTGGTTGTGTGTGGGGTTACGGTACGTTCACGAACAAATTCTTCTATGGACCGGATAGCTGAGTAGTAGTGATAGTCCACGGAGCAAATAATTACGAAAGTTCTGCAATTCTCGAGTTCACAACATACCCTAGAACCCGTCTTACCTCTCTATATTCAACACGAAGAAATTTACATTTACTGGGAAATTAAGTCCACTTCACTGGCATTATTGGCTCTGATGGAAATCCTACACCTGTGCTTTCGCGTGGTGCTTTGACTAGCTTCCAAGTGTCACCAAAACGTCGGCCTCCAACAAGTAACGTAGTTGTTCGTTCTCTAAGCCCCTTCTAATTAGTCACATTTGTTAAGCGAACCCGGATGCGTACAGTACAAAAGGCACGCTCGAGAGCTCACCAAAAACATGCCCACATTGTGTGTTCTCGATCAATGGTCATACTCTGCTCGCTTTAAAGCGATACCAAATACTGTAGAACCCCAATCATCCATGTCATCACCACCATTATCATCGTACAGCGAAATACAGAGAAGCGAACTTCACTGATAGCTGCCAAACTCACAATGCATATGCATTGGGGTTTGATGGACGGATACTGCTAGGGTGTCCAGTCACTAAGCAGGAGAAAAAATAGGGTTCTCAACCAAAGCCTTTAGGTCGGACAAGAACCTGGCTGCAAGGCAGCGGGTGAAGCGAAGTGGAGGGCCATTTACTTGGATCAACCACTCCTCTACTATTTTTACCGACTGAAACGCAAATTCTAGTCGAACACCCAACCTGAAGAACCAGGAGACTGAACTGCGTTCGACCTTCCAGGCATGATTAGATCTTCGGCTTAACAAAACCTATCCTTGTTATCGATTGTTCAAGTTGTCGCTCATTTAACTTAGTCCTCCTCACAAGTGTTCACTGCATCGTACCGTTGCGACACTTGGAGTTCCACATCAACCCACAGTGTATGTGCGGCTACAGTTTATCTCTTTCAGGCAGAGATATGATGAATCATCGGCACGTTTATCAGTTCAACATTCACACAAGAAGTAAAACAGATCAAACAGCATAAGCACAGAATGCTTTGGCGCAAAAACATTTTCCTGTAATATCGCTCACTAGCGCCTATACGCAGGGTCATTGAATTAAATGTGATGTATCATTACTAAACTGGGCAGTTAAAAATTTGATTTGACGAATATGATTTTCCTTCGGATAACTTCCTCCAAAAAGTGAAATGCATTAAGCACATCGCCGCTATCCAAGCCGAAGGACTAAACAAGTCACGTGAAGATCAAATATATCCTAGAACACAGACATTCTTTTTGTAGACCCACCATGTCCATCTTCCTCGACCTGAAAGCGACTTTCGACTCAGTTGCCCGCTCTAAACTCTGGCTCTGCCTTTCCCTGAAGGGTGCGCCCGAGAAGTTTATTTCAATAATACAATCCCTCAAAAATAATAGCCAAAGCCGAGTCCGAGCTTACGGCACTTTTTCACCCGAGTTCACCACGGAAAGTGGTGTTCGACAGGGTTGTCCTCTCTCTCCATTTCTAATTAATTTTGTTATAGATTTAATTCTTGAAACAGCTTTTCTGGATTGTCTGAGTGCTAGTGTAGCGATGTTCGGCATGCGCTTTGCACCTTCAAAGTGTAAAATGCTGCTCCAAGATTGGGTTGGTCCAGTCCCCAGCCTCACCCTGACCGGGGAAGTTGTAGAGAAAGTAGACAAGTTTTGCTACATGGGCAGCTATATCTCACCCGGCGGACGCATCACAGATGAAGTGTCGGCGCGCATACAAAAGGCTCGATTGGCATTTGCCAACTCGAGACATTTGTGGCGCCGTCGCGACATTCGGTTGTCTGTGAAGGATAGAGTATATGCTGC